GCCCTTAATTGGTGTCAGAGAGATCCTTTGTCTTGTAAAATTTACCTTTCTTGATCATTTGATCTATCTCATGTGATTTTCTTCTTCACATGTGATATCCTTTATTTCATTCCTTTGTTGAGTTTCTTTCCTTAATAACTTATCAACTCAACAAAAATCCATCACCGTTGGTTCCACAATTTCTGTGTCCAAGTTCAATTCTTGGAGGTGATTTTCTTTATCTTCTTTTTTCAATTTTCTTTCTTCTTTTATAGGAGTTCCAGACGAAATTATAAACTAGACTTTAGGTAGAAAATATTTTATTATTTGTTTTTTTTAGTAGTATTTTTAATATTACTTATTTTTCTTTTTCTTTTAGGGATTGCTGAGACGAACTGGACTCCTGTGTTATAAAACAAATGATCACACAGCAAAGTTTGTGCGTCTATATAGTACATTCAGTATTCTTTGCACAAAGAGTAATAAAATTTTTATCACGTTGTTCTTAGTGGCGATTATGACGTTCATTTGAAGAATCTCTCACTCCAAGACAGGTGATAAAACAGAGAATCTAACAATGATGGTATTTTCAGTTTTTTCGTGTGTCATTTACAAATTACAAATTACAAATTATATATTATAGATTATAAAATTATAGATTCGTTTTATATATTATTTATTATGAATTTTATATAAACAAATAGTTAAAGCCTTTTACGTGAAACTTTGTCTATACACGCCTTACATAAAGCATATTTATTACAGGTATTTGCTTTTTAATTAAGAACTTCTTTATATACTGTTAGTTGATGCTTTCCCATTTTCAGTTAAAAGTATGCAGACATACAATGATATAAACAGTACAGACTACACGAACTGATACTTAAAATTTTATTTAAAATTTGTTTAATTTAATTGGCCAAAATTTGTACAACTCAGTCCAATTCCAATTGACAAAAGTCCATTTGACTGGACCGTCCAGTCCAGTGACCAACACTGTACATAGTATATAAATAGAATCTAACGCATTAAACGCTGTTAATGTGAAATAAAATTATTATAATTATGGAATCAGAAATCTTAGCTAGCCTACCAATAAATGATAATAATATAAAATAGAAAATAGCAACATATTAAAATATTGCAGTCAAATTACGTGATGCATAATTTTGAGAGATTATTGTTGACACGCTTTTCGTATTAATAATCTTAAGTAGTTAAGTTTCGTTTTATGAGTAAAATAAAAAATGCGATTTTATTGAATTTGAAAATTATAATGTTTGCCACATTTAAAATCATCATTATTTTTTATATCAATCAAAAGATTTAAGAGAATTTAGATTTTTTATGATTTTATATTTTCTTGAAGAATTTTTAGAAATTGGTACAATTCAACATACACATCTGAAAAAGAGATGAGAAGATAACCACTTGAGAGGATGGCTGTTAGCATTATCTCATTATCATCTGACCAAACCGAAATTGGATTAGCCACAAAAATCTCATTCAGCCATTGGTACGCACACATAACCACGATAGTATTTTTAATCATAATAAATACAGGAAAGATCGGGCGCAAATCATCCATATTACACAATTCTAAATTTTTGAATCCAAATCAAAATATTTATATATAATAACTAACGGTGTGAAAAAATAAAATGGGGATGAACTGTTTTTTAGTTTTTCATGCATATTACTAATATTCAAATGACTTTTTTTAATTTAATTATATTCAATATATAAAATAAAAATTATGTTATTACTTTTGAAATCAATGAAAAAGAAAAAAATATCTTGATTCTTTTGTATTAAACACATTTTTTTAGTAGCATCATTTTTATTCTGAGTAAAAAATTTTGCTCACAAAAGTTTAGATATTAAATTAATTGTGTATTTAAATACCAAACAAAAAAAAAAAAAAAAAATGTTAAATTAACTTTTTTTTAAAAAAATTATTTTTTCTTTTTGTAAGAAAATTTCTTTTTTTTTTCAAAAACTATTTGAATAAAATCGGCAAATTTAGCAAGTTAGAAAAATAAATATTTCTATTTTGCATAAACTATTTGTAATACGTATTCAAAAAAATCATTGTATCTGATTCGTTCATTTATGCATATATGGAAATTTGAGCAACTAAAAAAAAGTTGTGAAACAAATAAAAAGAGTTTTTTTGCGTAACAAATTGTTGCGTAAACTATATATAAACCATTCGTTAAGGGAGAATAGGCGTTATGTTCTTGGATTGACACGTTATTTTTATTCCTATATCTACAATCTAAGATATTAAATTTGTAGGCAAAGCTCAACAAAGAATATACTTTGCAAGTGTTTTGATGAGGGTAATTTTATTCAAATATACATATATATATGTATAAATTTGTACCACTATATTTGAGAAAGTACCAGATAGGGGAAATTAGTATCTGTTTTTAATGTACGATAAATCGAAAAAAAATCAATTATCAAACATATTTAGCTAATTTTGTAATTACTGGAAGTCGCATTAGTGATTTTGGTTATTTGAAGTTATATTTAAACAACCTTTATTCGTTGAGGTAGATACCACTCATCATACTAATAAAGTTCTTTAGTATGGGCAACATTTCTAGTAGCAATCCAAAGTACACTTCAGCAAGCAACAGTCCAAACAATAGTACAAACGAAAACGACAGTACAAACGATGGTCCAAGCGACAGTTCAAACGAAAGTTCGAGTGATAGTACAACTAGCAGCAGTTCAAGAGATATTATTTTGTATAATGAAATCAAAAATAAATTAAAAGATGAGGAACTTTGTAAGTCACTTGAGGAGAGGGAACTCAATGAATTGATACTTAATCTTGGGGATGAAACAAGATTTCTAAATCAATATCTCCAGCTTGGTGATAATCATTTGAACCAAATCACTAACGATCTGCGAACATTAGTTCAAAATAATAATTTTTCCATTATTTCCTTAGGCGAGTACTATGTGAGGAACCTGCTAAGGAAACACAGAAGGAAATCCGACAAATTCAACATTTATTTGTTTATTAGCAAGCTTCGAGATGATCGTTCTGACAGTCCATTTCTTCGATTTTTTGCAAAATCTCTGCTTAGAAATAAATACGGAATGTTCCACGTTGGATTGGAAATAGATGGAATTATTCTAGAATGGGGCACTGGTGATGCTGGTCCTCATCTTATTTATCCAAGGGTCAATACAAAACGATTATGTGAGAAGCTTGCACACATACGCGTCAATTACGGTCAAGAATTTAACCTTATAACTACTTTCTCGGAGACTTGGTATCACAAACTATATAATTACATCTTAAACAAAATGAGAAAGTTTCTATCTTTTGTTCCGAAAATTGGCTCTATTTCTTCTGATAAATTACAAATCATTGCCCGAAAATGCGTTTATTGGAATAAGAATTTTAATTACAATCCATTAAGACGTAATTGTCAACATTTTATTGAAGAAATACTCGAAGCACTTGGTCTAACATTCAATCCTGAAGGCGAGTTCAAAAAGTTCCTGGATAGAATTGTTAATTATGCGGATGATAGTTTCTTATTCCAAGAGGAAGAGTTTCTTTCGAGACAAGATCTCGATCAATTTGCTGATAAGAATTGGGATAAGATCTCAAATGTTTGGGACAAAAGATTACTTCTATGTTATTCGGATATGATGAATAATATGTATGAGTATAAACATGACAAAAAATGGGAAAAATGGGGTCCTATGAATAGCAAAGAAAAATGGGTAGAAAGAGAAAACGAACTAAGGACGGATTAAAAATTACTGCACCATATAGAACTGACTGAAAATTGATTCATAAGAGTTATTTTATTTTTTTATTACCGTTATGTATTGATATTTTATTTCATGTTTAAAAAACAAATTATCAAGAAAGTAAATAGGAAAAAAGTAAATAAATTTATGCGACAGACTGTGGCATATAATATTAATAATCATTTTTTATAGTATGATCCCGAATTTCATTCTAAAGCTCTTTATAATGAACTAAATAAAATAAATTTTTATTCAATATTTAATCTAAACATAAAAAGTGGTTTATTGAATAATAATAAGTTACTACTTTTTCCATTCTTATTGTGGTTTTCAAATATTTTTAACATCGTGCAACAATTATTCTAAATAATTTATAAAATTATGTAAGATAATTTTCACCCAAAAGTGCATCAGAAACAAATATTTGTACGTTCGTATGTATAAAAAATAGAGTTTATTAATTATGCGTAACATCACATTATTTTCTTATACAGTTTAACAAAAGATTAAGTCGATAAAATTATTACGCACTGACTAGGTATCCCATTATAATATACATGAGTATGATATGTGGCTAAAATTTTAATTCTGGTAGAATTAGGCTAATTCCGGCCAATTTTTCCATGTTCCGTATAATTCAATTTTAAATAGGGTAAATTGATTTATGCTCGGGGTATTTTAGTCGGTGCTATACGACAATCTATATATATTGTAAATGTTAACTTTTGAACAACATGTATCACGAAAATCATTATTATGCCACAATGGTAAGTAAAGAATTAAAATTTGCTCTTTAACCAAGGTTGAATTATACATTCGGAAGAAATCAGATAAAAATCTGAACATAAGGAAATTTGCGGGTTCGAGGAAATTGATGAAATTAAAGTCGTTAAGGGAGATTACTTTCTAAATTAATTGAAGTTGTTCAGCAAGGTCGAAACTACTTATATATTAATTTTTATGGGGATGATCTGTTGACAACATAATGAACTCTGACCACAGTTTCATGATGTAGTTATTCATGATAACATAGCTACTAAAACTAATCGTTATAATTTTAAAACAAGAATTATTACCCAGGTTTTAACTAAATATGAACAATTTAGTAATATTCAGGAAATTATTATTGGGAAGATTGAAAAGTATATCATGTAAGCTAGAAAAATCCTCTTGAAACATTGAAATGTTTTCCATGTAAAGAAAAACTAAATTTTTCAATCCACTATAACTGAGTAATCGGACTAATATACATATATACAAAAAAATAAATTACAACTACTTAGAAAACAAATGAGGGAAAAGCAAGATCGCTAAAAAAAAACCCTAAATGAATTCTATCAAAGTTAATTATCTAACTAAAGACAGATTAATCCCCTCCGTACTATACCCCAGTAAACCAAGGTAAAACCTTCCTTCGGCGAAATCTGCGGTCTCTAGTTAGTTTTCTCGCATGCGAGTACCGCCCGCCACCAAAATTACGTCAACGGCGTTAAATTCTTTAATTATAATTTTATACATTCAAAAATTTTAAATGTTTTCAATGTTTTCACATTTTAATAAATAAACAATGTTCATTATAAGTAAATATAAAAAATATTCATTGGATAGTAAAAAAATATTTAATACATAAATGCGCATCATCTATTGCGGCTAAAATTACGTGTAACGCAAGTTGATATGCAATGTCTGGATGTCCGTTCGGTAAAAGTGTCATTCTAAATAAAATAAAATAAATATGTTCATCAAGAATCATACTATGAACATGTCGAGAATGATATTTCGTGACATTGTGCAACAAAAAAAACGTTAAATGGCATTCGGACTATACCGGTTTCCGTTTCCTAGTTATTAGTTGTATTATTAATCATTTTTCTTCGCATATGCGATAAATAATAAATCTCTTTTTTTACAAATATATATATACTCTCAACTATCCTACTCCCAACTTTCCTCTAAAAAAAATACTACAGTATCTAAAAAAAGAATACTTTCTCTAAAAAAATTACTATCTCTAAGAAAAACCTCTCTGTATATAGAAATATAGAGTTTATTGGACGTCGATAGAAGGGAAAGAGCAACATAAAAAATTATTTTTAAATAAATAATGAATAATAAAATATCATTTTTTTTAATCATTTATTTTTGTTGCACCGTGCGAGGTATTTTTTTATTTTTTCATGCACAAGAGTAATGGGTATCAATACTGTATCGGTAAGAAAAAATTCATTATCATATCAGATATTATGTTCATGAGTTAAGATAGTATTTATCTCTTTTTTTATTTACTTATTTGACATTAGAACGTTACTGGTTTTCTAGATGAGATAGTAACAGGTAAATTTTTAAATCAATATTTATTGTGTCTTAAAATAAAATGATACTTCATTAGAAAAAATAGTTAAAAAGAAAGTTTTTCTTTTGTTATGATATTTGAAGGGGTAGCGTATGATAGTAATAAAGGACATTTCTATTTTTATGAAACTATATTCCGATAATTTTTTTCATGTACACAATATCCACGATCAACATATAATCGGCAAATGCAGTTAACTAAATAAATACATAATGTATAGCCATATTCATCTAAACGATACGCATACTGAAACTTCTAAAAATTCTGTTTATAATATTAATAACCTGACTTTTTAGTTCAAAATTCTTGAATTATAAGAAATTTTAAACCTAATTCCAACATAAACGACGACGTACTGAGTCCTCTTCATTATTTTTATTTCGAAAATTCAAATTACGTCGATCATTTATTATTCACAATTATACTAACCTCAGCGAAGCATAATATGAATTCAATAACTTTCTATAAAAGGTTAATCACATTTCTTTCAATAATCGGACATTACTCTTTTTTTAGTTAGTATATTCCTCATTAAAAATATAATGAATTTCTTTTTTTGTAAATAAAGAATAACTTGTTTCACTTAAAAAGCAATAATATATTCCTTTATTTGTTATTGACATAGAAATACGATAATTCCCTATAAAAGGCTAACCAAATTATTTCAATGACCGGATATTATTCTTCTTTTGGTTATCATATACCTATTTTGAAATCACAATCCATATTATGCCCCCGTTCGTTATTAGATTAAGATAACCTTTTTTACTTACAAACAAGTAAAAATATTCCTTTAGTAGATTCAATACAGTTGCGATAATTCTTCTATAAAAATCTCTATACTTTTTCATTTTTTTGAAAATTCGTTTCGTTATTAGAAAAAATAAACTTTTATTTATAAACTGATAAATATTCCTTTAATTGCTTTCAATATGGAAGAAATTAAGATCGATGATGATGTTTTCAACCAATTAAAAGAACTTCACGGTCAATTAACTGAAGAACAAAATTTGTTAATAGACAAATTAATATTAAATGATGAATTAAAAGAACGTTTTAAAGCGTTTCATTTATGTGATGAATGTAAACAACCTAACACCGGTAATGATTGGTGTCAATCATGTAATGCTAATCGTTTTAAACTAAATTTCAAAAATTGGTCTAGCGGAAACGATATCATTGATGAGTTTATTCAAAAAGCGCAACTTGAGGCTAAACATTATCGTGGAGTATTAGAATGGATTGATTATGATAGATTTGAAGACGTTAAATATTTGACCAAGGGAGGATTCGGTATTACTTATAAAGCAATTTGGAAAGATGGTAATATATGTAATTGGGATTCTAAAACAAATAAATGGCAAAGAAGTAATTTCGACGAAGATCAGATGACGAAAGTTGCTTTAAAATCTATGCAAAACTTACAAGATATTACAATCGAACTTTTAAGAGAAGTAAGTTTTTTTTTTTATTTATAATAAATAATTCTTAACGATATTAATCTATAAAATGCTAATATTATTATTCTTTTTAGATTGAATTACATGTTGTAACGCCTGGTAAAAATGGTGGGGAAATTTGTTGTTATGGTATCACTAAAGATCCAGAAACGAATAACTTCTTGTTTGTGATGAGTTTTGTAGAAAATGGTGGTTTAAGACATCATTTAGATAAAAATTTTAATTTAATGGATTGGAGACAAAAGTTAACGATTTTAAAAGATATTGCGAATGGTCTTAACGAAAATCATTATGATAATAAATTAAATGATATCAATAGCGCTTATATTACTGATTTAGGATTATGTCAATTAGCAATTACAGAATTAAAATCTTTTCATAATGATAATAAAGAAATGTATGAAGTATTACCTTACGTAGCTCCTGAAGTTCTAAAAGGAGAAAAATATACTAAAGAAAGCAATATTTATGGATTTGGGATTATTGCATTTGAAGTTTGCACAGGATTACCTCCTTATCAAAATATGAGTCATGAAGAAATATTGGCTAGTGAAATTTGTAAAGGGTTGAGACCAGATAACGATTATAAAATCCCTCAATTAATTATTGATTTAATTAAAAGTTGTTGGGATGCGGATCCTTTAAAACGTCCTAAAATAGAAGAATTATGTAATGAATTAGTAAATTTATGTAATTATAATTCAGAAATATCTAAACAATTTGAGGAGGCTGATAAAATTAATGAAAAGTTATCTATTCCATTAACACCTGGTATAATCTTGTATACAACAAATTCTCAAGCAGTTTATACAAGCAGATTTTTAGATTTTGATAACCTTCCAGAACCTAAAAATGCTGATGATGATTAGATAATTATGGTTAATTCAATCACTTTTATAAGTATCTAACGTATTATATAATTATATTTTATATTTTTTTTTTTTTTTTTGACTATTTTATCGAAAACAAAAAAATATGAAGTTCTCGATAATTCATGTTATTTTATTTCCTAATCTTAACATAACTTATTTTCTTATTTAAATTATAATAAAATTTTAAATCTTTTATAAAATACATGAAAATAATAAGTATTACTTTAAAATTAATAGTAAAAGAAAGAGCTTATTAAATATCATTATCAGTAAGATGACGATTATCACGTGAATTAAAATTTTAAGTATACCACACAATTTTTAATTACCAGTTACATGAGAACTTTATCAATAAATGAGCGCGAGTGAATTAAATACAAGCAAAATCGAAACGTTAGTATTAAATCATTAGTTTAAAAATTAATTAACGGTTATTCTTAATTCCCACTACAAGTGTTTAATGCCGAGTTTATAGAAAATTAGGCCGAATTATTGAATACCGTAAAGTGATTTCGATTATGTCACGAAACGGCCGGCATTAAGAAATTAAGAAATTAACTATGTGACGAATAAGGGGTGAGGATTAAGTTTTTACCTACTCGAGAAAAACTGTACCTCAGATACTTATAGAAAAATGGAAACAAGAAAGGGTGTGACGTATGTGACAAAAAACAGTCACGTGAATTTTCGTGACATTTTTGAAGGGTAACGCAGGGTAATCAGTGATTTTCAACTGCGCCACGTGTCAATCGATTCTTAGTTAAAAATGTCAAATTTTTTGCAACATTTTATTTTTTCGAGAGTTGACTTAAAATTAATCTGTAAGCTCTATTCCAGCAACATGACCGTCATGACGGTAATACAAAGCATAGGAAAATGGCAACTAAATTCCACGTCTTTAATTTTAAAATTTTAATTACGCGGTCTCCATAATTAAATTTTGAACGAACTTTTTCTGTTTTACTCTGTATTAATGGAAATACTACATTATAAATATATCTTCTGGACTAACTTGTTAGTTGTTACATCTAGTTTTTATATTTTTTATGTTATTTAGGGTCCTTAAATAATCTCAGGATTCAGTAACAACATAAAGATAATCAAATTATATCATTAATTAAAATATTTGAATGTATATTTGCAAATTAAGAGTCAAAATGTAAATTCTTTATATTCCTATTTGAAAAAGTATTAATTATTTAAAATAAAGAAAAAAAACATTTATTATAAAATCGTTATCTTAAAGTCTCGTGATAAAAATACTGTAAATTTCATTTATAACGTTATATTATAAAAAAAGCATAACCCTTAATCCTTATCGTAATTCGTAATATTATTGTAAAAAAATTAAAATTAATTTTCTTTTCACTCACATGTTAACGTTAATAAAAGAAAATATAGAATATTTTAGCGTAACATTACATTTTAATTATACGGTAAATTCATAATTCAAAGACTTATTCTTTTCAATACTGCGACCAGAATAATAAAAATATGTGAAAAGGTTTGAAAATTATTAAAAATTCAATCAGAATTAGAAAATCGACGTTCTTTGTAATATAAATATAAAATCGCAAATCGAAGTATTCTTCGATACTGAGTAAAAAATTAGAAAACTAGAGTTTCAATAGTTTTAATAGTTTTATAAAATTTCTCAATTAATCCAATTAAGATTTGTTTTTTCACATGACATTTAAATATTTTTATTTGACGATTGAAAAATATTCACAAACTAGATTTTTTAGGCAAATTGGCTTTTAGAACTATCAAGTTATTATAATCATGTTTTATTGGGCTGTAAACTTTCTGTAATCACTGAGGAACTTTTAGGTGCTTATCCATCGCGTGCCACTATGTAACGATGTCATAATGTCGGGCAAAGCGGATTTTTTTTTTTGTGCATCCGTCAAAATAATATTTTAACCTTCATATTTGATGTATATAACCTCATCTTTATACAAGCCTTGTAAAAAATTTATTCGTAATTTCTGTAATTTCTGTAAAATCTCCGTGAATATGATACATTCATGGAAAACGGAAAAAATATACATTTACGGAAAAATAACTAAAAATCTAAGCAACTTGGATAATTCCCATGTTTTGTAGTTATAAATTCCGTGAATATGATACATTTACGGAAATATTAAATTTTTGAAAACGACAATAAACATTGTGCTCTGGAAATTTTTTAATGTTCCACATCCCGAAATTAGAATATGTTTTAAAAAATATCATTTATTATAATGATTATTATTAAATGAAAATGTTTGGCGAAAAATCAGGGGCGTTTGTTTGTGAAATCCTGATGCCTGAATGAGAATGTACACAATAAAATTCACAATCAAATTTAAAATCTTATAATATTAGAACCCCGCTTTCATTAAAGTACTATTATGGTAATAATAAAAATAGGAATTATTAATTTATATAAGTGCCGTCGGAATTATTTCTACGATCACGTAATGTGCCGTAACGAACTCCTTTTAAAAAATTCATTTTATTTAGGAACGGCTCTTCCGGATTTTTTTCCGGTAAGTGGAAAAGAGGTTTTTTTTAAACATTATTTTTAAGATACGACATTATTTATTATTCAGGATATAATTGATATATCCCCTACAATAGTAAGTGTTTTTAGTATATCGTGAGTATAAATATAGTATGTTTTATTGTTGAATCTTATTTTCTTTCGCTTGATTTTTCTTTCATTTTTAAAAGATTTTAAAAAAATGCATGATTTAATTCTAAATAATATTGAGATTACGAATAAATTAAAGAAAGTTTTTCTCATTTGGAAAATGCAAATCTTTCCGAATTACTCATACTTTAAATCCGTTTATTATCTAGTATAATCAATAGTTTATATTCATTTGTCCGTTCCTAGGAGATTTTGCAGTTAAAAATTAAGTTGCTACCCAGTACATTTGCATAATGGTGCCGATCAGGGGATAAGTAATACACGTATCTCCAATTTATATTACGCAAAATATCAGTATGCATCAATGAAAATGAATGTCGAATTATCATCGATATATACGTTGCCAATACCGGAGATACTTTCTTCGAAACCAAATTTAGATAAATTAAGCTGTTTTTTTGATTTTTCAATGTCTGTAATTAAGAAGAAATATAGATATCCTATGGGTTTATCTTTTATCTTTTACTAATTCGTTTCTTTTAAAGTAAATTTCAAAAAAAACATCCTTATTTACCGGGAAGTCAGGAGGTTTGAAAAACTATTTTTTTTATCTTATCCATTTATGTCACATATATTTGCATTGGCATTCCTATTACGGTGTCAAACAGAACCTATAATTAGATTGAAATAGACAAACACAAATATTTTTAATGGATAGTTTTTCTTTTATTACCATTTTCGTAAATGTTGACAATTTAAATATTGAATATACACCGAACAAAATAAAATTATTTTAGATAACGGAATATAAATCAAAAACAATATTATTCGCATGTACAATGTGTTCACTTTCGTTTATATTTCCTGATTGTCTAATTTCTAAAAATGATTATTAAAAATACCTGATACATATTTTAAAGGATTCAATGTAAATATGTAACATTTCGGTTTTTTTGTGTTCTCGGAATTTGACTCCTATTTATTATTTAGGTTCTAGATTCTTCTTATTAGAATTTTCCTTTGGCTTCCAACGCAGAATTCTTTATTTTTCATCATTAATAACTCAACTAATTTTAGTAATAAGAAAGGGTATATATACACTCTATTAGTTGATAAACTAAACCTTTTTTTTTTTAGTATGAAGGTTAATGGAAAACAAGCCAACCATTAACTCATTAATGACACACAAACCACACCTGAAAATGTTTAAAAATTGTACTGAATGTAATCGAATAATTTTCAGCGAAATTAATGCCAACTGCTATCAATGTTGTAAATTAAGAAGTATTCCGTTAAGCGGAAATAAAGTTGTTGATGACTTTATAAGAAGATATACATTAGTTAACGGTGAAGTGTGTATAGAATTTGTTCCTTTCGATAAATTCAAAGATGTAAAATATATTGGTGAAGGGGGATTTAGTAGAGTATATAGTGCCACTTGGAAAGAAGGTCCGATAGCTAATTGGAATGACGAAAAACAAAAATATGCTCGTCATGGTAAAATAACAGTTGCACTTAAGGAACTTAATGAATCTAAAAACATAAGTCCTAAGGAATTAAATGAGGTACGGTATTTTACACCAATTCAAATTATAAAATCTCGTTGCAAATCATTAGTATATTAACAAAAATAAATATTATTTTAGCTCAAGATATATTTCAATATTACTTTAAATTGGAAAAGTGATAATTTCAATTATATTAATATCAACACGTATTATGGGATTACCCAGAATCCCATCACTCAAAATTTTATGATCGTCATGAAATATTTTGAATCAGGGGATTTAGCGCATTGTTTATTTAATAAATTTTTTAATTTTAGCTGGTGTAATAAGTTAAATGTTTTAAAGGATATTGCATCTGGATTGAAAGATATGCACAGCACAAATATTATCCATAAGGATTTTCATAGTGGAAATATTTTTATTACGGGGAATTTTTGCATGAATGCATTTATCGCTGATTTTGGGATTAGTAAATCTGCATTAGATGATGATGATGAGATTTATGGAATTATTCCCTATGTTGCTCCAGAAATATTTCTAAGTCATAAATATACTAAAGCGTCGGACATATATAGCTTTGGTATGATCATGTGGGAGGTAATGACAGGTAGAAAGCCTTTTTGGGATCGAAATCATGACGCAGAACTTATTGTTGAAATATGTATAATTGGAGCTCGACCTCCAATTGTTACGGATGCGCCTGAGGGCTATATTGAATTAATGAAAGAATGTTGGCATCCTAATCCAAATGAAAGGCCGACGGCTACTGAGTTAAAAGGAAAACTTTGGAATATTCTGGACGAAGAACAAGATCCCTTTTCAACTCCAACTAAAATTACGAAGACACCGGATATTGGACCTGTAACAGCAAATAATCCATGCGCTATATATAAGAGTAGAGCTTTA